TTTATATATATATATATTTTAAATTAGACTTTTTATAATATAGCTCTGTTGAATGTCTTTATGTTTAGGACATTATGTTTGAGACAAGTATGTTTACTTAAAGGTTTGCTTAGCTATTTGAAGACCATTATTACGTCATACGTATTTTAGAGTGAACTTATAAATTTCCTCAAAAAGGTTAAGTGGAGTTTTGATTGAGATTACACTCATTTTAAAGATAAGGTTAGGGAGCAATTGATATCTTTATAAGGTTGTGAGTCCATCCAAGAATGCAAAATGACTATCCATTATTTCAAATCATATTCAATGACTTTTTTAGAGTTTTACATTTTTCTATGAATTCTTTTTTTTTTTTTTTTTTTTTTTTTTAACAGAGTGTGGGAGTGGGCTGGGGCAAGGGGCAGCGGAGAAAGGAAGAGAGAATCTCTCAAGTATGCTCCATGCCCAGGGTGGAGCCCTACATAGGGCTTGATCTAATGACCCTAAGACTGTGACCGGAGCCAAAATCAAGAGTGGGGTGCTTAACTGACTGAGCCACCCAGGGGCCCTGGCCCTCTATGAATTCTTAATTAAGCTTGTCAGTAGATACTTTATGTCTTTTGGCTAATGTAAAGTGATTTCTAACTTTTATTGTATCTCTCTTTTTTTTTAAAGAGTTTAATCCTCAATCATATTCTTTTTGTTTTTTAAGATTGATTAATTAATTTAATTATTTGAGATAGAGAGAGAGAACATGAGCAGGGGAGAGGAGCAGAGGGAGAAGCAGCCTTCCTGCTGAGCAGGGACCCCAATGTGGGGTTCCGTCCCAGGAGTCCAGGATCATGACCTGAGCCAAAGGCAGATGCTTAGCCGACTGAGCCACCCACGTGCCCCTTTATTGTATTTCTTATTGGTTATTCTGGTGTAGGGAAGTGTTAGTAATTTTTGTAAAGGCTAAAAGCCTTGATACATTCTTTTGTTATCTTAATAGTTTGTTGCTTCTATTATTTTTTTTTTAATTTATGAGAAGATGATCATATCATCTGCAAATTTATCTGCTTTGTTCACATCTCTTTCTTTCCTTATGCACCAGTCTGAACTCTAGTGCTATGTTTTACTAGTAATCATAGTCATTGGTCTTTGACACCTAAATTTTTTCCATTATGTATGCTGCTTGTTATAGATTTTTTGGAATATGACCTTTACCAAGATAAGAAAGTTTTATATGATTCTGGGTTCCTTAACTGGTTTGTCAAAAAAGGAAATGGATATTGATTGAGAAAAGCAGATGATTTTTCCTCTTTAGTCTATGATTATGGTGAATTACAGTAAAATATTTTATTATATTGGAAGCTTCCTTGCATTCTAAGGATCTCTCATTTGATCTCCATGTATTATTTTTCTTTCTAGTTTTTATTTAAATTCCAGTAAGTTAACATACAGTGTAATATTAGTTTCAGGTGTACAATATAGTGATTCAACGCTTCCAAACAACACTCTGTGCTCATCACAAGTGCGCTCCTTAATCCCCATCACCTATTTCATCCATCCCTCCACCCACCTCCCCTCTGGTAACCATCAGTTTGTTCTTTATAGTGTGTATTATTATTTTTAATACTGTTGAATTCAGTTCATAGATAATTATTTATTTTTTCCATCTATGTTCAAAGTGAGATAGGTCTATTGTTTTCTTTCCTTGAATTTTCCATACCTCAATTTGAAATCAAGATCATGCTAGCTTGATAAAATTAGCTGAACAGCTTTAATGTTTTTTTTTTTTTTCTATTTTCTGGGGGAAAAAAAAGATAGGAGTTGTATGTTCCTTGAATGTTTGGTGTAACTCATCTGTGAAACCATGTGGGCCTTTAAAAAAATTATTTTTGTCAGATGCCATTAGCAACTTTCTTCATTTCTTCAGTGTTTGTTGATATACACAAATTTTTATTTCTTGTGCAAATTGCATTAGATAAAGTTTTTCTAGGAGTTTATCTATCTCATCAAAAGTTTTCCAATTTATTAGCATATACCTGTTCATTATACCCTTTTTTATCTTTTGTATCTATCTGTAGCTATTCCCACATTTTGTTTCTTCATTTTTTTCTCCCCTTTATTCATGACCAGTCTTGTTCCAAAATCTGAATAACTTGCAAATATTTTTTTAAGAAGCAGCTAAGTTTTGGTTTTATGAGTTTTTACTACATAGTTTTTGTTCTCTATTAAATTGCTTTCTGTTCTGTCTTTATTATTTCCTTCCTTCTTATTTCTTTAAGCTTGCTCAATTGTTCTTTCTCAAAATTTTGGAGAATTTTTAGGTCTTTTATTTTTAACTTTTCTTGTTCTAATATATGTATTTGAAGCTATCAAATTCTGAGTACTACTTTAACTGTATCTCATAAAATTTGATATGCAACATTTTTACCACGTAGTTCTAAATGTGTTAATTTCCTTTATGGCTGCCTTGTAAATCCAGGTTATTTATCAATATTTTCTTAGTTTGCAAACTATCTGAATTTTAGGTATCCTTTTGATATCAAGTTCTAATTTTATTATAATATGGCTACAAAATGTAGCTCTTTTCAAAGATACTGATACTTTGAAATCTGTTGTAGTTTTCTTTGTGGCATCATGCATATTCTGTTTTAGCAAACCCTTTGTGTGACTTGAAAATGTATACAAATATAGGAGGAGTTGCTTTTATTGGATGCCTTTTTTTTTTTTTTTTTTTAAGATTTATTTATTTACTTGGTTGGGAGAGGCAGAGGGACAGAGAAAATCCTCAGCCGACTGTCCGCTGAGTACAGAGCCCCACACAGGGCTCAGTCCACAACCCAAAATCAAGAGTCAGATACTTAACTGACTGAGCCACCTCTGGCTTGTTTTCATTTCAGTGAATCTTTTTTTTTTTTTTTTTTTAATTGAAGTAGTTGACACACAATGTTACACTAGTTGCAGATGTACAACATAATGATCCCACAAGTTTAAATGTTATGCTATGCTCACTACAAGCATAGTCACCATACAACACTATTACAATGCCATGGACTATATTCTCTATGCTGTAGCTTTTTAAATGATTTTGATTTATTTTTAAAAATTAAAAAAAACTTTTAAATGATTTGATTTATTTTTAAAAAGATTTTATTTACTTATTTTCCGGAGAGAGAGAGAGAGAGCGCGCACAAGGAGAGAGAGGAGAAGCAGGCTTCTTGCTTAGCAAGGAGCCCAACACAGGGCTGAATCCCAGGACCCTGGGATCATGACCTGAGCCCAAGGCAGACGCTTAACCGACTGAGCCACCCAGGCGTTCCTAATTGAATCTTTTGAACTTCATACCTAATTTCCTTTTCTTCTTTGCTTTCACTACCCTGTAGCTCAGAGCCAGTCGTTTTTTACCCATCCATAGCTGGGTGATAAATACATGTCCTGTTAAACTGACTCTCAGAGGAAAAAAACCCAAAAAATTCTGACCTATAACGTTCCTGGTTTCTGTAGAATAAATGCTTTTATCCAGGCTGATGTGAAGCTACCCACGGTCAACAACTGCCTTTCAAAATTCCTGGATATTTTACAGTCTGCTCTTGTTGGCCAGCATAAGACAGCTCCCGCACTCCATTTTTTTTTTTTAAAGATTTATTTTGTATTTTAGTTTAATCCCTTGGCTTTACTTATTTCTTAGCTTTATTTTCTCTTTGCCCCAGTTTCTTCTTCTTCTTCTCATTAAATCGTGTCTGCCTCTGTGAGCTGCTATAAGCGCTTTTTGGGATGAGGGACACAAGGACACGATTCTTCAGTCAATAAGGAAAAAGACAGAGTTCTAATTTTAAAGGCTTAAATCTTAGTTCAGCTCTCAAAGTCTGTGCTGGGCCGTTTGGGGTGTGCCGCTCGCATGTATGTGTGGCTCAGGGGTCACGGGGTACTCATGAGAGTTCCAACCTAGAATTAAGGAATCCCCTTTTCCAGTTCCCTCATGTGGGAAACCCCTTCCACTTTCCTGTCCCCAGGGGCCCCCTTTCTCTAGTTCCTCCATTCCTCTGGCCAGAACCAACTACAGTCTTTCTCTTGGCAATTTAGGGCACTACAGCTTTGTACCTGAAGCCTGACTTCTCAGGGCAAAGCTCGGAGATGAAAGAGGGGGAAAAATTGAAAAATCACCCATGGGGAGCATTGCCTCTCCAAGCTCTGGCTCTCCTCATCGCCCACATGATTTTGTCTATTTTCCAGAGTCCTTCAGCACTTGCTTTTTGTCTGCTTTCCAGAAGAGTTTTTCTAGTGATCGGTGGGGAGATTGGCTCTTAAACTATTATTTTATTTAAAAAAAAAGATTTTATTTAATTATTTGACAGAGACAGACAGAGCACAAGTAGGCAGAGTGGTAGAGGGAGACAGAGAAACAGATTCCCCGCTGAGCAGGCAGCCCAATGTGGGGCTCAATCCTAGGACCCTGAGATCATGACCTGAGCGGAAGTCACCAAGCCACCCGGGAGCCCCTTAAACTATTATTTTAAACTTCAGAATAAATTAAATATCATGACTAGAAAGAACTCAAGTCTCTATAATTTTAGACCCCCCCCCCCCAAAAAAAGCCACAGGCTCCCAAGGGCATAGGATTGTTTTAGGGTACTTTGAATTTTTATGTTAAGCCTGAGATCCAGAAGGAAAAGCAGACAAAAGCTTCCTGGGGAGCCCATTATGATTTCTGTTTAAATATACCTCTTAGCTGCTTACTTAGGAGCAAAATGACATTGAATATTCAAGCTGTAAACCACCTTAGAAATCAACATTTGACAGAAGAGGAAATGAGGGCTCGCAAAAGGGGAATAATTTGTCCCGTCACTTGGGAAGTACATGGCAAAGCCTGGACCAGAAGTTAGCCTGTTTAGCTAAATAGTTACTCAGGTATCTGCTATTAACTTCCTAATGTGTTGGGCTAATTATCGCAGATTTCCAGGAGGACATGATATACGAAGATTGAAGGAACGGAAAGTTTTATGTGTTATGCGGGAGAGGAAGGGCATATGGTGAAAAAAAAAAAGCTAAATCCCATTTTTCAGTTTTTGAATTTGCTATGATTTTGGTTAAGGAACTTACTTTTTCTAAGCCTCCATCTGTCCGTAAATAGACATAGTAGTCTAATGTATGAAGGTTTTTTGTTTGGGTCATAAAAGAGAAAGCTTATAAGCATGTAACTAATGCCTTGCCCAATGTTTTCATTGTTGTTATTATTCTTTGAAACTCACAAATCCTGAAATTTTACGCACTCATCACGTATTGACCTCTAATGTGAATGAACACAGCAGGGAAAAGGTATCTGATATCTGGGAGGGAAGGAGCCCCCTCCCCTCACCTCACCCCAGTCACCTAAGCTTTATCTCCCTGAGCACCCATTTTCCATTGATCATACGGGGTTCTGGTCTGAAAGAGTTTATTACAAAATGACGAAGGGAGGTCTGAGGAAGATTCACTCGTCATAGAATTTCGGCAGCTCATCACCCAAGATTACTTGATGGTCCACACCAGCAGCTGTAATAGTGACCAGGTAGATGACGCCCCCGCTAGAGCCATCCCGGTTCATGGCCAGAGCGATAGCTGCAGAGTTTCAGGGTGGAGAGGGGGAGAGAGAATGACTTAGCTTCAGGATTCTTTACATTCCTCTCCTGCTCATGTGCTTACTACCACTCTCAGGCCTCAAAACCCATCTCCTAGGGACACATACCAGGCGGTGTGCTGGTAAATCAACTTAGAAAAAAAAAAAAAAGCCTTTAGATGTAACATCTCCCATTATCCGTGGTCTCAAAACTCCCACCAGGATGGATTTCAAGTTGCAAATAGTTAAATAAGCAGCTCATGAGTTCTTGCATGTTTAACAGCCAGCTCCAGCACGCCCCTGATTCTTACAGTAACTGTATACTTTGATTTGGGGTACCCTGAACACTCCTCGTGTCTGCCCTGGGTTCTGGAGTCCCATCTCGTCTAGCATTGTCCTGCTCCCTTTCCCTCTCAAAGGAGTTCCAGTTTAGACATTAAGTTAAATGGTTGCCCATGTATTCCTCATCATGTTCCTCACCCTCTCCTTCCTTCCCAGGTTTAAAAACCCTCCCAGGTACCCTTCCATGCAGTCGGTTACCATTCGTGGTGAAGCTCCTGCACTCCTCAGCGGACATGCCTGGTTTATAAGCTGCATCCACATAACCATAGATATAGGTGCTCCCAGAGCCACCGATGGTGAAGGGTTGCCGAGTCAGCATTCCTCCCAGGGTTCCATACACCTGGGGGGGCATCCTCAGGTCAGACTATGGAAGCACCAATCCTCTCCTTGCCACTGAGACAGGCAGGGTGTCTCCGTGTTCTGTGGTGAGCCCCCCATCTCCTACTCCCATTGGCGAGATTATACTCTGTTTTTAGAGGCGGTGTCCTGGGAACTCACTGCCGGAAGGATGTAAACTCTGTCTCCCCCGATAGGGTAGAGGGGGTACATTGGAAGACATGCACCTGGCCCCCGTCCCGTCGGTCCCAGCCGGCTACTATGAGATGCGCAGACAGGTCCTCCCGATACTTATAACTGATATTCCTCACCACGTTGGCAGCAGCAAGAACAAGAGGAGGTTCTTCCAGTTCCAACCTAAAGGGAATGTTAGTAAGTGTTAGTAATAGGGGTCAATATAACTTCCTGAAGGGCCACCCTCCTGTGCCATTGCCATCATCCCTGCCAAGTGACATGTGAAACCTGAAACCTGTGGTTGCAATAGCTCAAACTCCAGGGGGACTAGTCTCACAGCACCCACTGGTAAGAAAATTCAACATTTCCCCCCTTTCCTCCATCCCCATCCTTTCCTTACCCATCCCCCAATTATATAACACTTTGCTGCAAGGGCCGTGCCCATGTGGGTAAAAGCAGGTAAGATTTACTTCTGCACCAACGACCTTGGTTTCCCACTGGGTAACTTCCTGGTATATGGTGGGTCACATCAGCATTTTCTTTCTCGTTATTCATAGTGGGACAGAGATTTACAGTGTTCAAGCCCTTTTCACGTATATCATTTGATTCTCAAAATAACTGTCAGGTGAGGTAGGGTAGGTGCTGTTAATTATCTCCAGTTTACAGAGGCAGAAACTACATTGGGGCGTCAAGCTCCAGTTCAAAGCTAATAAAAACAGGAGTGCAAACAAGAATTTTTCATTTTTCATTGCAGTGCTCCTGGAATGGGACACTGTCTCAGGCTTCGCGGGTCGGGAGAACTCTGGTGAATGTGGACTGAGGACCCCAGAGCTTCATACCCGTGGAGTTCCAGTTGGTAGGCGGCCATGTCAACCATGGCTTGGGCATCAGCAGCTGAACCAGAGAGCGCACAGAAGATGTGTTGGTGCAGCGGGGACAGCTTGTCAAACACTCGGTTTACCACCGCCTCTCTGTGGGGAATGGGTCAACAGTCACCAACATTAGCAATGCCAGAATTTTGGAGGTTAATCATCCAGTGTTTCTCAAATTTATCTGACAAGAGAACAGCCCTGGAGTCCATGAAACTTAATACTTGGATTAAGACAGGAAGAAAAAAATCATCTCAAATAAATGAAACACCGCAAGTTATCAAAATTAGACTTATTTCCGGCTTAGATTTTATAGTAAAACAAAAAATAGTAAATTAAGAATCATGTTTTTAAGCAATTTTTCTTTGTTGTACCCATCTTGAGGAAGTTATGTGTTCTATGGGACATAAAGTAAGTAATATCGACCTAATCCCATATACTCATTTTGCATATGGGGAGACTGGCCAGGATGGAGGAGACAAAATTAGTTCAACATGTGCTGGATGAGAAACCAGAATATCTGCCTGGCAGAACCACCTTTTCTATCTCTAAATATAGATGGAAGGAGGGCCCCTGAAATCTTTGTGTCTTACCTCTTTCTCATACCCTATTCTTTTATACCCATTTCTGCAGGGACAGGCCACAAGCATTCAGGCCTCAGATTCTGTTTCATGAATTCAGGGACCGAAGCACTTGCCCAGTATCTCATTAGAGGGCATTTCTGAAGGTTAACTCCATTTCCGCAAAGCTCCACTTTACCAGTCTCTTCATGAATGGGCAAGAAAAATCTGTATTTAGGGCCATTGGCTTCCTTCCAGAAGCATTCACCTTGACTGGTACTTACCCTGCAGACACTCGGGAATCAGAACCCACCACAACACCTCCGTCAAACTCCACTGCCATGATGGTTGTCTGCAGACAAAGAGGATGGAACGTCAGAGCAGGGCGAGACTTGATTCCCTCATGCTACAGATGAGGAAACATCCCCAGAGAGGTGAGGTGACTAGCTCAAGATCATACAGCAATTTAGGCCAGAGCAGACTCCCAGTACAGGCTATCTCCTCTATACTCCCACCTTCTCTGTCTCCTCTCCCAGCTGCAGGGGAATGTCACAGCCAGCTCCTGGCACAACAGAGAAAGAATCCTATCCCTGGGCTGTAGCCTTCCTAAGTTGAATCCTTCCCACTATAAAAAGAGAGGTGGGGATGAGGTTCACAGAGGCAGACATTTGGCTCAAGGGGGTGCTTCCAAGCACTGGCGGAAGAGGCAACCCTACAAGTGAATGACCTCTGCCACATGTGCTCCTAGTGTGTGCGGATGTGTACAGACCCAACACAGAGCAGGTTGCTGTGACCTTGGGAAACAACCTCAAGTCTTTCTTTGGCCCCTAATTCTCCACCCCACACCCCTTAGCCAGTTTATTAAACAGCAGAAATATCAAGGGGCGCGGTGGCTCACAGGGCCATGCATTGAGGAGGGAAGCAGCCAGGAACACACAAGATGGTTTAAAATAAAGGTTTCATTTAAGGATTTATTGATTTTTTTCTTTTTTAAAAGTAGGCTCCACACCCAGTGTGGAGCCCAGCGTGGGACTTGAATGCAGGACCCTGAGATCAAGACCTGAGCTGAGATCGAGAGTGGGTCGCTTAACCAAATAAGCCACCCAGGAAGCCCTCATTTAAGGGGTTCTGATCAAGAGTTCAATAGTCACCTCAGCAGCCAGAGGAAGAGAGCTGTATCAGGAGAGGATTTGCCTAGAGAGTTTGAGCTCACTTTTTCAGGTCAAGAAAGGAAATCAAGGAAAAGAATTAAAGAAGGTGAAAGGGATAAAGCTACACATTTTCTACTCCTGTTGAGTTGGAAAGAGCCTTAAAGGTCCTTGGTTCAAATGCGGAAACTGAATTATGGAGGAGGCGGTTGACTTGTCAAGGTTACCCAGAATTAATAACAGACTAGGACTAAAACCCGGGTCTAACTCCCCTGTTGTTGTGACTTCTGCTTCCCATTTCCCACTGCTCATCAGATTTTCTACCTTACAAATGGTTTTAGTGCATTCTCATCACTCTGTAAGTCCGGACCCCAGGGCCATTGCCCAGAGCGCGCTGTCTGACATACTGATCTACCGTGAACTGAGGGCCACTGAAAAAGGGCAGCCCTATTCTAGAGGTTATTCCTCCAAAACAAAGCTGCACCCAAGCCAAGAGTGGTGGCATAGTTTAGGAAGAGAAGCCAGCCGGCCATGGGCTGTGGGCAGCCTGTTGCCCAGCCTGGGCAGGCAGGTGGGAGTGAGAAAGAAGGACATAGGGAGCTGCACATAGCAGTTCCTGAGCCAAATGGGAGCCTTTTTGGATCAGGCTGGGGAAGGACAACACCGTCTCACAAGGAACCCCCATTATCAGAGCTGCGGCTATGAGTTACCCAGCGGCCAATTTATCAAAGGTCTGTGTGATGAGCTGTCCCTTCTCAATCAGTGCCCATATTCCCTTCGCCCCAGCGCTGTCCTACTTCACCCAGGGCACCATTTCTTCATCAGTCTGCACCTTCTCCAGCCCCCTCCCCTGATTTAAGCAGCTCCTCTCTCCAGTCCGGAGTTGAAAGCGAAAGCGCTTTAGAGCAGCTTCCCCTTGACGTTTTCAGCTAAGAGCCAATGCACCCCCTTCTCCACTTGCCTCGCGGGCCCAGTCCCTTCGTGGACTCCTGTAAGAACCCCTTCGGAATAGAGGTGCCCCGTCTTCATCTCAGGGCATCTCTACAAACACTGGCTGCTACAAACTACCTCCTCACTCTTTTAGTCACCGCTAAAACACTTCTCGGAGTTTCCAGCGTCCACCCTGTCGCTCTACCGCCTGCTTCCACCTATCTCCTAAACCTCTGGCACAGACTCCTTACCCCAGTGCGGACTTCGCCGCCGCGCAACATCTCGGTGCCGCTTGCAGCCTGGGGCACTGCTCTCCGACGTGGGACTGCAGGCAGCGCACGCCTCCAGCCCCGCGCCTTCCCCACGCCCGCCAGGGGGCGCCCGGGTCCGCTCTGTGAGGCCTCGCGCCCGACGCTAACCTACTTGGCACAGATCTGCCCGGAGACAGGTGACGAAAGAGGCTGGGGTAAAAACGTCCCGGCAAGTGGAATTAGCAAAATGAAGCAGAGATAGCAAGGAAGGACTAGTGTGCCTGATGGAGAAGGTGGAGCCGCAAGTCCGCTCCCTAAAACCTCATATCTGATTTCCACGCCCTCTCCGAAAATAGTCTGGGCTGGCCACCTCCTGCGCGGGGCGGACCTACTAAGCTGCTGCCGCTTTCGTTTTCCCTTTCCGAGAAACCGCCCGCTTCAAGGAGCGCGGCCAGAACCAGCAGGTCCTGGGACTTTCCGGGATCCCCGCCTCCGGCCGCCCTGCCCTCCTTTCCCCGCCTCTCAGCGCCCTCTCGGGTACAGCACCCGAGTCTGCGGCCCCGCGCGGACAGCGGGGAGTCCCAGGCCGGGGGTGCGACCTCCGGCAGCACCCACGCGCCCATGGCCAGCTCGGGGTCCCGCAGCCCCTGCGGCTGCCTCTGCTCGTCCCGAGCTTCCCTGGCGTGGCTGGGGGTAACGCTGCTGCTTCTCGCCGACTGGGTGCTGCTCCGGGCGGCGCTCCCCAGAATAGGCTCCGTGCTGGTCCCCGCCGCGCTGCCCCTGCTCCGGGTCTGGGTGGTGGGCCTGAGCCGCTGGGCTGTGCTGTGGCTGGGGGCCCGTGCTGTTCTCGGGGCAACGGTCGGCTCCAGCAGGAAAAGCGCAGGAGTTCGGGGATGGCTGGCCGCTCTGCAGCCATTGGCGGCGGCGCTGGGCTTGGCCCTGCCCGGACTTGCCTTGTTCCGAGAGCTGAGCTCGTGGAGCGTTCCCAGGGCTTCCGACGGCTCTCCGCTCCTGCACTGGGGAAGTCGCCTGGATGCTTTCGCCCTCACTTACTTGGCAGCAGTACCCGCAGCCGCCATGTGGCATAAGCTCGGCGGACTTTGGGGACCGAAAAGTCACGGGGGTTCAGGAGACGCGGTGCGCCGGCTTCTAGGCTGCCTGGGTTCAGAGATACGACGCCTCCCGCTCCTGCTGGTCCTGTTCGTTCTCTCCAGTCTCGGTAAGAGGGACGCAGGGGCAGAGAGGGACGGACACCAGGGGCCTGGGCAGGAATCACAGTAATAATGGTCAGTGAGATCGGTTAGTGTGGGTTCTGGGAAATGTGAATCAGGGGAAGGCGACCGAGCTCTGGTGGTGAGAAGACTCGCTCCGGTGTCAAGGAAAGAGCCCTGGACTCCGATGCTGCTTCAGGCGTTGCTTCACTAGCCACCCTGGGCAAGTCTTTTCTTCTGAGCAGCACACCCTATAACCTCTGGTCTCCCTATGAAACCTCTGAAGGTCCGGTGGGGCTCAGGGTTATGAGTTACACGGTGCGGGTGGAGGGCTGGGTTCTCAGTGTCCTCTTTCTGCCTGGGCCCTCCAGGATACCGGTGACGGTTCAGAGGAGTGGGATGGGGGACGGGCCCCCTCTGCTTGGAACTGATCTGCTTAGACTTGATATCTGTGACTGACCTCTCCCTCCTCTTCCTCTCCAGGGGAAATGGCCATTCCGTTCTTCACCGGTCACCTCGCCGACTGGATTCTCCAAGATGGGACAGCCTCTGTTTTCACACGGAACATAACGCTCATGTCCATTCTCACCATAGCCAGGTCTGGGGGCTGAAGATGGAAGCCTGAGAATGGGGGGCCCTGAAAAAGAGGGATCTGGAAGCTGGGGCTGCTGTCCAAAGGGCCCTTCTTTGGGACTTCTCTCTGTCCCTGGAACAGGGCCTGATCCTTCTCTCTCTCTCCAGTGCAGTGTTGGAGTTCGGGGCTGACGGTGTCTATAACAACACCATGGGCCGTGTGCACAGCCGCTTGCAAGGAGAGGTATTTCAGGCTGTCCTGCGTCAGGAAACAGAGTTTTTCCAACAGAACCAAACGGGTGTGTCATGAAACTCATTATATATCTGTATACTCTTTATTTTCCCCATATATCCTCTTTTACTTATAACCTTGATCTTTCTCTCTTTCTCTCACGTAGACATTGTCATTTCTTATTCTTGATATACTTTGAGTATTATATTCTTTACCTTCAGAAAAACCTAGCTTTTCCATCTAAATTTCCATAAATTTATCCTTATGTGTATACTCAGATAAAAACTATAGAATTTCAAACCTGGAAATTTTGAGATCACGGAGTCCAACTCCCTATTTTGCAGAGAAGGAAGCTGAGGCCCGGACCCTAAATGCTGAAACTGGCATGGGCACATATGGATAGGGGTGAGCTTGGGGATAGAACGCATCTCTTGGTTCCCAGCCGAGTGCTCGGTAGAGTTTTCTGGACTGCTTTCTAGCAGCACTCTTTTTCTCCAGCTATGTTATGTGACCACCTTAAGCTCATCTCTGTGCTCTGTGTGAAGCAAGGTTATACATGCTCTTTAAGGGATAGAAACTGTCAGAGAAATGGAAATTCACATGGGCATCAATTTCCTTATAGTTAAAATGAAAATCTTTGGCCAGGTTTTTCCTAACACTCATTCTCACAGCACTGAGATCCCCAAACTCCCCTATCCCCCTTACTTCTCTTCCTCAGCCTCCTCAGAACACCCAGTTGCTGCCCCCTTTCCCCTGGCTCCTCCCCCTGGCTGGTTGCTAGTCCCTTCCACCACTCTGAGCCTCTCATTCATTCACTCTCTTCTCTTCAATGCCTGGCAGGAGCCATCACTTCTCGAGTGACAGAGGACACCTCCACGCTAAGTGAGTCTCTGAGTGAGAAGCTGAGCCTGCTGTTGTGGTACCTGGTGCGGGGGCTGTGTCTCTTGGGGCTCATGCTCTGGGGGTCACTGTCCCTCACCATGGTCACCCTGGTCACCCTGCCTTTGCTTTTCCTTCTGCCTAAGAAGCTGGGAAAATGGCACCAGGTATGTCCAGGGAGCTGCCTCACCCTACACAGACCTTCATTTCCTGGAATGGGTGGAATTAATCCCTCTTAGATTTCTTTCCTGGCACCCTCGCTGATTCCCTGTCTTCACCTGACCCCCTGTCCCTGTAACCCATGCTCCCAGATGGCTCAGTGCTGAGCTCCATACTGTCTGTGTCTTCTCTTCTAACTTCTGCCCACGATCTGTCTTTGCAAACATGATCACCAGTCTTGAGATTTCGATCCCCTGTGACCCTTCTAAATAATTTCCTCTGCTCTGTAACCCTTTGGTATCCAGGAAGCATAACTGTGCCCCTTTGTCTTTCCTTCATTTATCTGCCTCTTCTCACCTTTAATCTCCAACTAGGTAACTCAGGTACTAGTGTCCCTGATGGTTTGCCAACCCTGTGCGACATCTCTTGTCCGTGTCTCCACAGGTGCTGGCAACCCAGGTGCAGAAATCTCTGGCAGAGTCCAGCCAGGTGGCCATCGAGGTGCTGTCAGCCATGCCCACAGTCCGGAGCTTTGCCAGTGAGGAGGCTGAGGCCCAGAAGTACAGCCAGAAGCTGCAGGATATGAATACCCTCCATCAGAAGGAGGCTGTGTCCTATGCAGTTAACCTCTGGACCAGTAGTGTGAGTGCCTGTATATGAGTGCCTGAGATGCCTTGACTCCATTCCCTTTCCCGCACGCTGCCACCATGGGGCAGTGGTTGGTTCGGTGTTCTCATCCTAGCAACCTGGGCTCAGTTACCCTGCTCATTGTTCCTAACTGCCTCCCTCTCTTTAGACCTGCCAGATGGCTTCCTGTCACCACGGAACACAGAATCCTTCCAGCCCCCTTTTTGGGAAGGGGCCATGTCTTCCAGTTCCGGGGCCTTCCTTTGCCTCTCAGGCAGAACTCAGACATAAAGTTCTGCAGCTGGCCTGTGTCATGTTGGGACTGTGAGAGCCATGGCAATAGCAGAAGCCAAGGATGAGGGGCATCTGCTCCGTCATTGAAAGAGAACTGGAGCAGCATTCAGAATTTCCTGCCTTGATGCTGCCGTTTACTAGCTCTGTGATCGTGGGCTAGTAACTTACTTTCTCTTGAGACTGTTTGCCCACTTCATTTTATTTTTTATTTTCTGAAAAAGATTTATTTATTTGAGAGGGAGAGAGCATGGGCAGGGGAGAGAGATAAAGAGAGAGGAAGCAGACTCCCTGCTGAGCAGAGAGCCTGACAATGACTTGGGACTCTGAGATCATGACCTGAGCTGAAACCAAGACGTTCAACCAACTGAGCCACCTAGGCTCCCCTGTTTCCTCATTTAGAAAAGGGGGAATGGCATAACCTTGTTTATAGGGTTCTTGCTATGAATAGTAGATGACATTTCATTTAAAGCCTTTTGTGAAGAGTGCTCTGCAAACAAGTGTTCTTCACGCAAGGTGATAGTGGTGATGGGGAGAACAGTGATGACTTCTGTGGTGTAGCCGAGCAAGACTCCATGGAGCCCCCATGGTGCACGCTCCCTGTCTGGCCGTGGAGCCTCCTGCTGTTCTCTGGCGGAAAGGGACTTAGTATCTCCAAACTGCTAGTGCGTCTCATACTTTGCACCACCTTCCCCCTGAGGTTTTTCAACCACAATCCCTTTTCTCCATGGTCTCTCCACAGATCTCAGGGATGCTGCTGAAGGTGGGAATCTTATACATCGGTGGGCATCTGGTGACAAGTGGGGCTGTAAGCAGCGGGAACCTTGTCACGTTTATTCTCTACCAGATCCAGTTCACCACCGCTGTTGAGGTGAGAGCCTTCCATTTTCACTCCCTAGTGCTTTTCCTTCTTAGGTCCCATCACCGTCTTTGTCACCTTCCTTCTGTTCTTTACCCTTCTCCTATCACATGGCCCTGGCAAGCTGATGTGTTCTCCCCTTCGCTATACTCATACCTCCCCTGCAGGTACTGCTCTCCACCTACCCAAGTGTACAGAAGGCTGTGGGCTCCTCAGAGAAAATATTTGAATACCTGGACCGGATTCCTCGCTGTCCTCCCAGTGGTGTGTTGACTTCC